TACCATCCAGTTATGTTGTGAATCAAATAACTTTTTATAGTGTAGTTTTTGAATATGATCATAGTTCCAGAATTACAGATAAATGTTTTCAAGTCCCAAATATTTCAGTCCCCAAATTTCAAAAATATCCCTATTTTTAGTTTGGAAACTGGTTTAATTTACCCCAAACACAAGTTATTTGAGATTCATGAGCTATATTAAATGATCTGTTTCACAGTTTTCATGTTTTTACTCGGCCTGAATATGCAATAATTCAGTCAATCTCTTATACTGCACTTCTTAGAGCCAGACACACAGAATTTAATATTATGTTCCCATCCCTACTTCATTCATGCTATAGGGAAAGATATAATTTCATAAAAATAGCTATAAAATTTGATAAATGCTACTAGGCATGTATAAAGTGTTAGGAACAAACAAAAAGGAAACCAATTTAAGGAATGGTACTACTAATCTCTATCATCTGCAGACACATACTTCCAGGTCTAGAACTGGGTATACAGTATGCTGCCTTTTGCCTAAGACAGGGTGGTAGGGAACAGGATATGAACATGTATAGGAAACACGTAAGGTAAGGTGGTAAGGTATATACATGTATTCACTTATACTTTCTTCACCATCTTTACAATTTTAAAGTATACCAGTCGGTGACTTCTAGTGTACGCATAAGGTGGTGCCACAATCACCTCTAATTCTAGAACATGCTCATTACCCCAAAAAGAAGCCCCATTCCCATTACGCAGTCACCCCTTTTTATTTTTTAACCTTTTTCTGAGGTTCTTAATAGCACAACTTTGGACCTCTGAAATTGTTTTCGTTTTGTTTTGTTTTTAAGATTTTATTCATTAATTTGACACAGAGAGAGTGAGCACAAGCAGGGAGAACAGCAGAGGGAGAGGGAGAAGCAGGCTCCCCGCTGAACAGGGAGCCCAAAACAGGGTTCTATCACAGGATTCCCCGGATCATGACCTGAGCCAAAGGCAGATGCTTTATGGACTGAGCCACCCAGGCATCCCTGAAATTGTTTTTTTTATGAAAGTTTTTAACTTTTTCCTCCTGTTTTTATCTTTTTATTCTATATCCTGAGACTGATTATATTTTCTAATCTGTATATTGAAAATTTTAAAAATTTCACCAATAACATTTCAAAGACCTTTTTCTTCTTTTTCAAAATATTTTTGTCTTTTTTTTTTAAAGATTTTATTTATTTATTCATGAGAGACACACAGAAAGAGAGAGGCAGACATACAGGCAGAGGGAGAAGCAGGCTCCATGCAGGGAGCCCGATGTGGGACTCGATCCTGGATCCTGGGATCACGCCCTGGACCAAGGCAGATGCTCAACTGCTGAGCCACCCAGGTGTCCCTATCTTTTCTTATTAATCTGAGTACATTAATAAGATAATTTAAAACATTTTCTTCTGCTTCTAAAGTCACCTCTTTTTCCTCTAGGGACTTTTTCTGTTTTTCTCATGTGCTGAAAGGTCATCGGTTGTCCATTCACATTTAGAGCAGAAGGACAGGGAAATGGTCCTTTGCAAAAAGGAAGTGCTGGAAGGATAAGCCATAAACTATTAAAATGGTTACTAATAAGAGGTGCAAAGCAGGGTGAACTAGAACAAATGTATAATTTCAGGTGAGCAGAAGGGGAACCACATGTTAAGGCTATAGAACCCTGAATTCTATCATGAAAAAGACTTATTTTGGAGCATCAGCTTCCACATTAAAAGCCTCAGCTGTCCCCAGACATTTTGTTCAATGTCTTTCTAGAACTATCTGGTGTTTTGCACGGAGGAAAATGCAAGTTACCTGAGTGGGGGAAGAAAGGAAGATAGGGACAGAGTGGACAAGTGTGAGCAGTTTCCTATTTATAGTCATTCAATTAATTGTCCTTGTTTTCAGCCCCAGTTCTTACTACTGCTCATCTCTGTCCCTGAATCTTTGGAGAAGTGTTGGGCTGATGTAGCTCCTGGCTCAGTGCACTTTGGGCTGCAGCTTCCTGGCTTGTTTCTTCCTTCGACCCACTCCCATTTATCTTCCAACTTCCAGAAAGGTGTTTATTGGTGACCTAATCACTTGTTTCTTTTTGCTGTTTCTAATTCTTTTTTTTTTAAAGATTTTATTTATTCATAAGAGACACAGAGAGAGAGTCAGAGACACAGGCAGAGGGATAAGCAGGTTCCCTGCAGGGAACCCGACATGGGACTTGATCCCAGGACCCCAGGATCATGCGTTGAGCCAAAGGTAGACGCTCAACAACTGAGCCACACCCAGGCATCCCTTTGCTGTTTCTAACCGAATGAATTCTCAAGAGAGACAGAAGTCAAATGCTGGTATCTAGTCCATAATTCTGAACTTTGTACTTTTAAGGAAAAAGGAAGATTTGACTTTCTACAGAAACTTGCAGAGAAAAAAAAAAAAGAAACTTGCAGAGAAAAAAAAAAAAAGAAACTTGCAGAGAAAAAAAAAGAAACTTGCAGAGATCAATACAAACAATTGGTTCTATTTTTTTTCATCTTTTCACAGTGCTTGTCTATAAAGAAATGAAATAAAAAAAAGAAATGAAGTAACTAGCTAAACACTAAGTATTCTTTTGATATCTAATAGAATTTTCATGATTATGAGTTCTTATTCTATATTCTGTTATTGCATGTTCCTGGGGGAAAATTCCATTATTTCATTAGCATTCTAAGGGGTCTACAACCCAAAAAGTTAAGAGCTATAGGATAAAATGAAATGCACTCTTTCAAACAGTGGTGGAAGGTAAAAACCCCCATTCCACATTGCTGTGTTAGAGTGTTAGATCTTAGATTGAAGGTGTTTAAATCACAAGAAATTAAAGTTTGAAAATAATCTTGAAGGGGCGCCTGGGTGGCTCAGTGGTTGAGCATCTGCCTTTGGCTCAGGTCGTGATCCCGGGGTCCTGGTATCGAGTTCCACATCGGGCTCCTGCAGGAAGCCTGGTTCTCCCTCTGTCTGTCTCTCTGCCTGTCTCTCATGAATCAATCAATCAATCTTTAAAAAAGACAAAGGAAAAAAAAATCTTTGTTTCAAAAGCCTAAGGCAATCAAGTAACAAATGACTGTATAATATGTTGGTAAGCAGCATGCACAGGGTGCCCTGTCCAGTGGGTAACAAATCACAGACATTAGCTCTCTGGTACAGCAAGCAGCAGAGTGCTGCAGGACAGCGGTGCCGGATAATTTCCCAATCTGATGATCTGGCTAGCTACTTGGGATATAGCCTTTCAGGTACAATGGAGTTTTACACAGAAGGCTCAGAAACTAAATTTTAGAAGACCCAGATGCTGAGTGAAGATGAGGCTAAAAAGTAACCAAGAAGGGGAGGAAGTGACTGACATATTAGCCAAGAAAGTCAGTACTGCTATAAAATTAAACTGTAAATTGTTAATTCTGGTTCTTTAAAACAGGTTTTGCTGAAGCTACCTAAATGTCAACTTCTAGATTCTAAGCAAATGACATCTGGACATCTGCCATTTCACATACTAGTTCAAGTAATTGTTTTGTTTTGTTTTTTAAAGATTTATTTATTCATCAGAGACACAGACAGAGAGAGAGAGAGAGAGAGAGAGAGGCAGAGACACAGGCAAAGGGAGAAGCAGGCTTCCTGAAGGGAGCCCGATGCGGGACTCGATCCCGACTCGATCCCAGATCCCGGGATCATGACCTGAGCCAAAGGTAGGCACCCAACCACTGAGTCACCCAGGTGTCCCCAAGTAATTATTTTATACATATTTTTAAACAAGTAAAAAAAAAACCTAAAAACACAACAGAGAATTGTATGAATAACAATGTTATTGTTATTAGGGCTAAAATCCCCTAATTAAATATTAATATTTGTTCAAAACAGGAAAATAGAAATATGTGTACGTTGTTAAAGAAAAAAATTTGGTGATACTTGTCAATGCATGGTAAAGATGACTTCACTCAAAGGAGGGGAAGCTATCAAAGAAGGTACAAGACCACTGTAGTAGAACTCTGAAGTGGGCAGGGAGAGATTGGGTTCAGCTCTGAATACTGTTATGGGCAAGTGGGAATTTACAGCCAAGGAGCAGGGTGGGGGTCAGTTGGATGGAAAATTACTAAGAGGAAACATGAAGGGAGAGGGGGATTCTGGCTAAACTGACCCAAGAGAATTTTCACTAGACAGGCCAGTGCAATGAGACATCACCTGGGGGAAAACTCATCAGTTACTGAGAGTGGGCATTCTGTTAAATTGGCTTAGCAGGGTTCTTGCTAAACAGGATTTAAAAAAAAATTCATTTATTTATTTGAGACAGTGAGCGCACGTGCAGGGGGGCAGGGGGAAATGGAGAGGGAGAAGCAGGCTTCCCACTGAGCAGGGAGCCTGATGTGGGGCTCCATCCCAGAACCCTGGGATCATGACCTGGGCCAGAGGCAGACACTTAACCGACTGAGTGCCCCAGGTACCCACTAAAACAGGGTTTTATAAGGAAGTGCATAGATGGGCTTGGAGAAAGGTTCAGGTGACTGACTAAACTTTGGTCAGAGAATCTTTATCAGCATTTACGGGATTATGATAATATAGTGGCAACAATGAAGGTCAGTCACATAGTATATGTGAAAAATATAGTACTGCTGAAGATCTGGGCTATGGTAGCTTTGGTTGGAATACCTGAAGTGAAAGGAAGAAGCTAATACACATTAAGCAAATAAACTCATGTGGTTTTCCCTGGTTGAATAAACTGAAGGTAAACTTTTTCTGAAAACATCTTTAGGAAATAGGGAACAACATTTAAAGATTAATGATTACCATATAATTTTATATGAGTCAACTGTTTAGCTGTCTAGGCTGAATGTACCCTGGAATATATGTATCTAAGTAAATCTTGTTCATCTATTTTCATTTGCTTCAAATGGGTTATCACCACAAATATTTCAGTTAATCAGAGGATAGTTACAGTTCACTGTGGTTTTACTATAAAATTTTGTAAACCAAAAGAAACTCCCAATTACCCACCTAAGCGATGGAATCCAAAGGTGAATCTTTTGGTTGGTGATTTTGAAGATAGCCACAAAGCAAGCAGGGTCAGTATGATGGCACTTAGGTCAGTTAACATATGAAGCGCATCTGTCATGATTGCCAAGCTATTTGCAATGTATCCACCTTGGAGTAAGGATGAGAGGGAAGAAGAAATTAATTAATTAAAATAATAAACATAAGCAAACCAAAAATATGTAACATTCTACCAAACATCAACTTATAACTAAATCTTTATCCTATTACAATTAAATCAAGATACCCTGAAATTTTATGCAAAACATTAATTATGTGTGTATTTTTGTGGTGAAAACGTCCACATCTATGAACAGATTCTTGGAGGAGTCAATGATCCTAAAAAAAAAAACCTAACCACTAAAGTAGGGGCTAACGCATTGAAATTTTGTGTTTTAGTACTGCAGCTTTTACTCAACCTACTAATCGATTCTATTAGTGAAACTAATAACCACAACATCTAAATATTACAAGAAAGCTGAAGGTAGATACTTGTTTGTGAGGATTTGATCACAAAACTAAACCAAAGAAACTTTTTGAATGTACGTTAGTTCAAAACGAAGATTAAATGGATGTGATCACAAGATCACCAGCAATGTCTCCTGCTGCTCTTGGCTCTGCACACTCATCCCTGAAAGAGGGGAATCACATCCATTTACTCCAGCTCTACACAAATACCATTTTTAAAAATGTATTTCCTTGACATTAAAGAGCTGGAAGTCACTGAGAGAAGAATACAAGTTGGTGGCTAATAACATGGGGTTTTGGACTCTCTGAGACTCTCTCCACAAGTTACTTAATACTTTTGAGCTCAGTTTTCTTATCTAAAAAATAAAGATAATACCTTAAAGCTGTATTGTCCAGTAACTTTCTGAGATGATGGAAATGTTCTATTTGTGCTATTCAGTAGAGTAGCCACTAGTCACATGTAGCTTTTGAGCATTTGAAATATGGATAATTCAAGTGAGGAATTTTTATTTTAGTTAACCTAAATTTAAAGAGCCATGTGTTGATAATCACAACAGCAAAAATAGCAGCAAAAATAGCAAAATAAGGACTTCTGAAAATCATCTCCTCCATAAAAGCAATGAGAGCATGGGCAAAAAGGGTCCAAATCAGCTTTTTCAGAACTCTGTAAATTAACCAAAGACTGATACAGTAGTATTCATTCAAGGAAAACGACTAAATCTTTATAGGAATAGGAAACATTATGTGGCTTTGGACCCATCTCCCACTCTCCAGCTCTATGGTAGCCCTGAAAACCAACAGGCAACAACCAGTGAAAACTTCAGTCTGGGAGTCACTGCAAGGGATAAAGGGGGTTAGAGCTCTTTAGTAGCCCCATTCCCAAGGAACTATCATTATCTAATCTGTCTGGTAGTTTCTGGAAGACCATACTAGCAAGGCTGTTTTGACCTGACTTGATTTGGGGGTCTGCCCTAGGCAAATCCTAAGGAATGTTTGTCAAAAACAGTCAAAGGGATTTTAAGACTGCAGCTGCTTGAGGCAATAGATAACAGCGTGTTCCCTATATTCTGATATTTCAGGATGATATTCCTTGGTACGGGTTTATTTTTACCCAATTTTCTGGGTTTTTGTTGACTCTTCTTATCTGGAAATGTATACCCTTCAGTTCTGGGGAAATTTCTTAAATGAAATTTCTTAAATATTGTCGATTATTTCTTTTCTTCTATTTTCTCTATTCCTCAAACTCCTACTATTTGGAGTTTGGATTGATACACTAATTTTCTTTTCTTTTTTTAAGATTTTATTTATTTATTCATGAGAGGCAGAGACATAGGCAGAGGGAGAAGCAGGCTCCCCGATGTAGGACCTATCCTGGACCCCAGGATCATGTCCTGAGTCAAAGTCAAAGGCTCAACTGCTGAGCCACCCAGGTGTCCCGATAATTTTCTTATGTTTTTTTTCTCTTATTATCTATTTCTTTTTTTTTTAATTTTTATTTATTTACGATAGTCACACACACAGAGAGAGAGAGAAGAGGCAGAGACAGAAGCAGGCTCCATGCACCGGGAGCCTGACGTGGGATTCGATTCCGGGTCTCCAGGATCGCGCCCTGAGCCAAAGGCAGGCGCCCAACCGCTGCGCCACCCAGGGATCCCTTATTATCTATTTCTATCTTTTTGCTCTACTCTCTGAGAGATTACCTTAGTTCATCTTATAACTTTTCTTTGGAGTTTTAAATTTTTTTGTTTTCATTAATAAAAACAAATAAATGAATATCTTTATTCATTATAAAGAAAGCTCTTTTCTTTACCTTGAATTTCTTTTTTAAAGCAGCCTAGGGCCGCCCGGGTGGCTCAGCGGTTTAGCACCACCTTCAGCCCAGGGCCTAATCCTGGAGACCCCAGATTGAGTCCCACGTCGGGCTCCCTGCATGGAGCCTGCTTCTCCCTCTGCCTGTGTGTCTGCCTCGCCACCGCCCCCCCACCCCCGCCGGTCTCTCATGAATAAGTAAATAAAATCTTTTTTTTTTTTTTTTAAAGCAGCCCAAATAAATAAATAAAGCAAGCAAGCAGCCTTTTTGAGTTGCCTGGGTGTCTCAGCAGGTTGAGTGCCTGCCTTCGGCTCAGGTCATGATCCCAGGGGCCTGGGATGGAGCCCCACATCAGGCTCCTTGCTCAGCTGGGAGTCTGCTTCTCCCTCTGCGCCCCTGTACTCCTTCTCTCTCCCTCTCAAATAAATGAATAAAAATCTTAAAAAAAATAACAAAGCAGTCTATTTTTATAGATATATAATCTCTTATTTCTGTGGATACTAACTATATATTTATTATAATCTGTTTAGTTTCCTTATTTCAGTTTTTCTCTTTACTCACACTTCTGGGAATACCTGGTGCAACCAATTCTAGGCCTACTTAGGATTCTTTTTGTTCTACTCTTTGAGAGATTACCTTAGTTCATCTTATAACTCTTCTTTGGAGTTTAAAATTTTTTTGTTTTCATTGTTCTTTACCCTTGAATTTCTTTTTTAAAGCAGCCTATTTTGCCTGACTTCTAAAATTGGAGTTCTTCAAAACGGTCTTTTTTTTTTTTTTTTCCAAAATGGGTGGTTTTTTCCATTCTGATAGCATTACACACTATCTCTTAACTTGACCATTCTTCTGAACTATAGACTCAGATATATATCTAACAGCTCACTAGACATCTTTACTGGCTATTTTACATACATCTGATAATTAACAGGTCGAAAACAACCCTTGAGCCCATGCCTAAATCCTGCTCTGTATTTTCTCCCTGCCTCATAAATGACATACATTTCCATACACTCAGTTACTCAGGTGAGAAACTACAGAATCAACCCCCATATCTAAACCATTAGCTAATTTTGGTAATGTTACCTTGAGAATGTTTTTCAATCAGTACATTTTTCCCCATCCACACCAGTCCAAGCTGTAATCATTTCTTGTCTGGACTTCAGTAATAGTTTACTCGCTTCCATTTTTGCACCCTCCAATCCATCTCCATATAAGGTCCAGAGTAATCTTTTAAAAAGGTAAATCCCATCATATCACTCTCCACTTAAAAGCCTTCACTGTATTTTTCATTGTACTTAGAATTAAAAACTACACTCATAATGTGGTCTATTAGAACTAGCCTGGTCTGGCCCTCCAGACTCTTTCGTCTTGCTTATTATATTCCAGTCAAACTTGCCTTCTTTTTAGATCCTTTTAAAGAATGGAAGGTTTTTAGGACATTCGGACATGCAGTTCTTTTCACCTGGAAAACTCCACTCCCTTTCCTTGAGTAACTCCTACCCCCCCCCTTTTTTTTGGCTTAACTGTACCTGGCTCATACATACATAAAATATGTCCCACTGTTACTATATCTTATAGTACTTTGTTCTTTTTCTGTAAAACACTAAAGACCGTATGAACTTTAAATTCATTTGTGTATTTATTTAACATCTGTGCCCTCCATCAGACTGCTTCAGATAGTAGGTTTTACAATAGTTTTGTCTTCATTGTATATCCATAATATTTAATATAGTGCCTGTCATAAAGCAAGTACTCAAAAAATACTTGCTGAATGAAAGGAAGAAAAGAATGGACCTGTCTAAAGTCTCAGTGCAAGTTAGTGGCAAAGCCAAGATTCAAAATCAAGTCTTCTCTTTCAGATCTTTAAATTACTTCATTTTTAAAATTACTCCATACTTTCTACATAGGATGCTTTATTTCTAAGTGTTTTTGATACACTTTAATAAATGCTCTACTATACACAATTTAATTCAAATATTCTGAATATGTTAATTGCCTATCCCAAGGAATTAGCATTTCTGTATTTTTTAACCAAATATTTTTATCTTTTAAGACAAAGTATTTTAATTTTTTTATGATAGTCACAGAGAGAGAGAGAGGCAGAGACACAGGCAGAGGGAGAAGCAGGCTCCATGCACTGGGAGCCTGATGTGGGATTCGATCCTGGGTCTCCAGGATCGCGCCCTGGGCCAAAGGCAGGCGCCAAACCGCTGCGCCACCCAGGGATCCCCAAGACAAAGTATTTTAAAGAAAATACTTATTGTGGCTTTCACAAAACAACTTTACCAAAGGAGAGATTTCAAAAATGGTATGTCAGGACAATTTTATCTTAATAATTTTTACTTAGACAAAATAAACTCTAAATCAATTTTAAGGGGGAAAATTGTAATTAATATGATTTTAACTTCAAATATTAAATATTAACTTCAAGAATTACTACATCTGATTGACTCTATATTCTAGCTCTGTGAATTTGGGCAAGTCATTGGATGTTAGTCTGTAGAGGTCATACCTTATCTGGCCACAGCTTCACTCTTTCCTTTTAATTTCTTTACAGCTTAAGCATTTATAACTCTCTATCACAATAAACATTAATTCAACAAAAAATACTTATTGACCGTCTATTCTGTGCCAGTCATTGTTGAAGGTGCTGGGAATGAAGCTTATATTTCAGTGGAAGAAGACATGTTAAACAAGTAAATACACATAATAAGCAAGATCAGTCTCAAGATGCTGAGGGCTTTTAAAGTTGGGGAAGAGAACAGAGAAGATGAGATATTTACTTTAGTCAGAAAATGTCTCTCAGAGGTATCTTTGGGGATACTATTATGAATGTCAAGAAACCAGCCAAGAGAAGCTTTGGGAAAAGGCACTCCAAAGGCACTGCTTTGGGAAAAGGTTAAGCACTGTTTTTGCAAACCTCAAGTTTTGATCTATTCGTGGAACACGAAATCAATTTAAGTGGGCTGAGGCCACAACTGAAAAAATATTAGAAAGCACCACAAGAAATGAGACTTTTTGTTTCAGTTATACATATATTTATACATAGATGACTGTGCATGTGTGTACATAAACATGTATGCATGAAAGCCTACCCAGGTCACAATGTTAAGTGTAGTTTTTACTATAGTGAGGTCAAAAAAGTTTGAAAGCCACTGACGTAGAGGGACCAGCCAGTTTGAAGGCCTTATGGACAGTAAAGAGCTTTGTGAGTCACGGGGAGAAAAGAGGCCGGCATGGCTGAAGTATGCACTGGGGAGGAGAGGTGTAGAATGCGGTAGGAAAGGTATATAATTTTCCTACATGTAACCTCTGGCCATCATCTTAATCTGGACTGCCACCTCTGTTCTAGTAATGGTTCATCATTAGGAAACAACATGGCAGGATAACCTCCCTGCTTTAATGTCACTTTGTAAACTGTCACTATGAGAAGTTAGCAGTTACACTAACATGCCTACGTAATTAATCTCTAAGAATGTATTTTATAGTGAGAATGTATTACTTGAATAATTAAGATGTGAAAAAAACAAGTTCATAAATCCTGGGGGGAGCCCTGTGGTTCCTTTCAGATCCTCACTCTAACGAAAAAAATAAAGAGACCGGGATGGTACAAGTGGCTCTCCCACTAACCAGCTAAGCGTTCTCACCACTTATCGAAGTCTCTGGGCCCTCAGACTCCTATGTGTGAAAAAGACGGCAGAGGAGGTGTTCAGTAAGGTCATTTCGTGCTGTAAAATTTTATGATTCTATGTTATTCTAGATCATTTGCTATTTTAGATGATGCAAAAATTAACGTGGTGTTTTATAAAAAAAAGAAATTTTTTTTTTTAAAGAGGAAGTTACATGATATACGATGAAGCTAAATGTCCTTAACTTTACAGTAGTAGGTGTCACAGTGTTTGGAGAACCAGAAGAAAAGTCAAGAGTTATCTCTGAAAGTTTATGTTGTACTTGGGTTGATCTGTACTTTGGAACCGTGTGGACTTTTCATATCATGAGACCGGTATCTTGATAAATAACAAATTTCCTGAAAAGAAAGTTTAAACCTCAAATCGTGTGTAACTAAAGCTTGACGACACCCTTCGGGACAAGGTAAAGGGAGAGTGAGTTGGCACCACAACTCACCTACAAGTTCTCCAATCATGAAAAGCAAGTAAAGAACGGCAGCAATGGTCAATCTGGTTTTCACCTTTCTCTGCTTCAGGAACTCTCGCTGTCTGCTGCAGTTGTCACAGGGGTCCACCTTCAAACTCAGCTGGCTGTTGGTCAAAGGTAAGTCCTGGTCCAGCAAGGAATCATCGTCGGCCTGCAGGGCCGGGTGCGCCCCGTTCATAGGCCTTTCTGGGATTTCAGAACCATCATCGGCCACCACAACTCGAAGTTTGTTAAAGCGAGGAAGCCCCTCGTCCCCCACCTCGTCCGAGAAGTCAAAGGCGCTGGTGTCATTTAAAAACAGCGGCGCATCATCCTTCCTTAGCAGAGATTTGAGGCGCTTCCACGCGCTGGATCCGGCCATGGCAGAGGCTGCGCGGCCGCGGCACGGAACGGCTCGGGGCGGGCGGGCGGGCGGGCGGGCGTGAGCTCCGGGGCTCCTACTTCACCGGAGCGCCAGTTCCCGAGGGCCCTGCCGCGCGGCCCTCCCCATCCTGTGGAAAACGAAACACGTTATAAATCAAAGGCGCCCCGACACTGCCCACAAGTTCCGAAGCCCCGGGCGGCGGGAGCGCAGGCCGGCCGGAGGCGCCGGGGTTCCGCGAGGGGGCGGCGCGTCTACCTGGGGCTCCGCCGCGGGGCCGCCGCTCATCTCCCCGCCCCCCGCCGGGCACAGCTCGGGCGGTCCTGGCGCCTGCCGCGCCCGCAGCTCCAGGCCGGCTCCCCGGGTCTGACAGGTTCGGGGCCGGCCGCCGGGGGCAGCCGCCTCTCCCCGCCTCTCCCCGCCCTGCGCGAGGCCGCGCGCGTGCGCCGGAGCGGCCGCAGGCGAGGAGCGCGAAGGAGGGGTCGGCACGAGCACGCGCAGGCCCGCGGCGCAGGGTGGCGGCGCCCGCGAGGGGGCGGGGCGGGGCGGGGGCGCGCCGTGTCCCCCCGCGCGCCCGCCCGCGCGTCCCCCGCCCGCGCGTCCCCCCGCCCGCGCGTCCCCCCGCCCGCGCGCCCCGGTCCCGGCTGCGGACGACCGCGCGCCGGCTCTGCCCGAGGGGCCCTTGCACGCAAGCCCCGCGCCCCGGCGCAGCCCTGCCGCCTCCCCAGGCGGAGAGGCGGGAGCGGAGGGAGGCCTGCGGACCCAGTGGGTAGATTCGAACGGTCCCGCCCGTCCGCGGCTGGGCGTTGCTGCCGGAGCTCGCTCCACCCACGGAGGGCCTCGGGAATCTCGGGTCAAGACCTTGGGCCTCGGGAATCTCGGGTCAAGACCGCGGCCCAAAATGGTTTTAGCGCTTTCTTGCTGGGTGAGAAACCACGCAGCTTGCTTTTCCTCGAGTTGCTGCTTCTCTGGCAGGTTGGCAAAATTTGCTGCAGCGTCAGGTCAGCTTCGAGAGGGCAAGGCTTCTGGTCGTCGGCGGCGGTTCTAAGTCCTGCTTCGTATTTACTGTTGCTTTTCATCAAATAGGTGTTGTCCTGTGTGTGTTCGCTCCCCTGTTCCTTTTGCCTGCACTTATGACATGGACTAAATCCAAGCACAAAATCTAGTAGGGAGTTCCGTTTTGGCCCTCGGTTCTGTTAACAAATTTAAAAGAATTAAGTTGAGTAGTAGTTAGTTTCTGTTTTAATGGTGAAATGGAATGGCAATAACCCTCCCCACTCCCCTTCTCCCTTGAAGTCTTAAGAGATTTCTTAATCCAAATTCCTTTGGATGGGTTTTGGGGGTTTCTGGAGGCCTTAAACTCATGTGCAAAATATTGTGGCTTATATGTATTTTCTTGAAAGAAGTTCCTTAGCTTTTGTCATATTCTCGAAAGGGCTTAAGACTCAAATTTTAAAATTTAAAACAGCCACACTGTCAGGGGGAACTCCTAGATCAAGCCCCTAGCTAACAGTTGGAGTTGAGTTGCAGTGAAATTCCCAGTTATCCTGTGTTAATGCCTGGTGTATTTTGATAGTAGTCTATGTGGATTACCAAAATTCAAGTTACAAAATAATACAGTAATTCACGTGGAACATCATTTGCCTCTGAAGATTCAGATGGCACTTTAGAATCTCTCATGCCTCAGGTGCAAGAGCACCAACTGCTTTTGGAGTCTCCAGAAATCCTTCACTTTTGAATGACCACCAGATTCCTACAGAGCTGCAGCCATGAGAGTCAGGTTAGGAACCCTGGTTCCCAAGACCAAGGAGGGCAGATTTGCCTAGAATCTTTCTTAACCCCATCCAACTGGGGGGATGGATTCTTTTTTTTTTTTTTCATTTTTAAAAGATTTTGTTTGTTTATTCATGAGAGACACACACACACAGGCAGACTCCCCACAGGGAACCCGATGTGGGACTTGATCCCAGGATTCCGGGATCATGACCTGAGCCAAAGGCAGATGCTCAACCACTGAGCCACCCAGATGCCCCTATTCGTTGTTTTTCATTTCAGTTTGTTAAATTGCCTGAAATTCTAATAAGAAATACAAGTGAATAAAGCAAATATGTTAGGAATGTGATTGCTCTTTCTTTAGTATAAATTCTTCAATAAAATTCCATTCAAGGGAAAAGGGATAGATGTTTTCGAGAAAAGTTGAGGCAGCACATGGATTGTTTTGGGTACTTACAGCAAGCTTTGTTGGGAAGGGCTGCAGTTCTGAATCCCAATTTATTTTTACTATTTTGTGTCACTGGGTATCTGTATAGGGTGGTGGGAGGATAACAAAAACTATATAGTGATTTTAGTGTATGTCCACAAGTTCTGATACTCATCCCATCCAGAGGTAGAGCTTAATCTCTCTCCCTTCAAATGTGAATAGCATATGGCCTAGAATGAGTAGAATATGACATAAGTGACAGTGTATGACTTAAAAGACTAGGTCATAAAAGGTACTGCAGCTGCCTCCTTGTTTGTTCCTGGGTCACTTGTTCTGGGGGAAGCCAGAGTTACCATGTCATGAGGAATTCAACCAGCCCCAGTGAAAAGCCCATGTGACAAGAAATGGAGGCCTCCTGCCCACAGCCATTAGAATGAGCCATTTTGGAAGTAGATCCTCTAGCTGCACTTAAACCTAGAGGTGATGTAGCCCAGGATACGTTGACTGAAACCCATAAGAGATCCTGAGCCGAACCACCCAACAAAGCTGCTCCGGGATGGCCCACAGAGAGTATGAGGTAATAATGTTTATTGTTTTAATATGGTAAGTTTGGGGATAATTTGTTACAGAGCAATAGATGACTAATACACTCAATTTCAACTTTCCTTTGTACCAGGAAAGACACTTTTTAAATTATTTTATCGCACAGTGCTCACTTCAGCAGTACATATATTTTATCATACAGGCCCTTGTTCCTAGGCTTGTCCTTGGGTAGTGGCATGATTTCTATCATTGAACTTTAAAATGGGCTAAATAGACTTCTGTTAATAGTCTTAGCATGTAACCACCATTTGCAACCTTATTTCTATGTATTCAGAATTTATAACAATAGGCAAATGAACTTTTGAATGCATTTATAATCTGGATACTGCCTGCAATTCAGCTAGCTATTGCTCAGCATGCCATTCTTTTATAAGAGACTTCATACTTTTCAGTATGAAGAGCTTTTTTGCATGGGCAAATAGAAACAGTTGCTAACTATCCCATCTCCTAACCAGGTAACTCATAATACACAAATAGTTTAAGTAACAGTAAATGTCTGACATTTGCAAGACACATACCTCTGGCAGTCAATAGAATAGCCCCACAATATCCTATGTCAAAACCTGTTTTCTGGCCCAGATATTTTTTGGAAGAAATGACAATCCCAAAAATAATACCAGAGCTAACATTTACTTGAGGCTTTCTTTACGTGCCAAACACCTCTGCAGGGGACTTGATTTACATCAGCTCATTTAATCCTTATAACATCACTATGAGGAAGTTAATAATTCAAAGTATGGGTCTTGAAGTGTGACTGTGTGTGTGTCCTGGTTTTACTATTTAGTCCTATAATCTCTGGCAAACCATTTAACCTATTTGTACTTCAGTTTTCTTACCTATAAAAGGGGCTTGATGAGAGTACTCACTTCACAGGGTTGTGGTAAGGATTCAATGAGATCATGCATGTAAAGCATGTAAAACATAGCATATATAGTTCCTTGCATGTTGTAAGTGCTCAATCAATGCCAGCTATTAATATTTCTTAAGTAGATGAAGACAGAGAGTCTCAGGGAAGTGAAGTAACTTGGCTAGAGTCATGCTAGCAAACAGCAGGAATTCAATTTCAGATCAGTTTGGTTTCAGAGCTCAACCTCTCAACCATTAGAATACAGTGTCCTCTCAGTCTCTTTCCACACACAAATGGAATGATCTACAGAAAAGTACCTAGCCTGGGACACCTGGGTGGCTCAGCGGTTTAGCGTCTGCCTTCAGCCCAGGGCATGATCCCGAGGTCCCAGGATTGAGTCCCACATCGGGCTCCCTGCATGGAGCCTGCTTCTCCCTCTGCCTGTGTCTCTGCCTCTCTCTATGTGTGTCTCTCATGAATAAATAAATAAAATCTTTTTTTTTTTTTTAAAAAGTACCTAGACTCCTTGAAGTGTCCTAGGAGAAATTCTTCTTCCATATGTCAAAGATTTGCCAGCACCTCAAGACTTTAGCATCACCCCGTGAAATCCTTTTTGGAGAGCAAGGGGGGAAAGTGGAAAAATTTTTAAAAATGGGAATGTGGGGAAAGGTGCCACTTAATTGACAGGCTCAGTGGTCGCATTTTTCCCATCCTGAGAATTCCTTTCTCCATTGGAATAGATGATTGTAGGAGATTCCCAAAGGATGTTTTTGGAATGTGACTCCTTATCCTTTTCAGGAGGGGATGAAAGCTGTTAGCTACATATGGAGAAAAGTTTCTGATGTGGTGTACAACTTCAGTGAGTGTAATAATTTCTTCTTTTTGTGGATTGCTCTGGTAACAGAGTAGCTGGAGATTCAATTTAACCCCTCCTCCAGGGGAGCCAAGAAAGACACAAAGTAGTTAAGAGAATTGCCCAAGGCTAGGCAAATAATCTTCTTGGACTGAGAGAAGATAACGGAGAGGGTCTTTGGGGGCCAAGTCCATGTACAGGTATCCTGTCAGGCAAACCAACCTGTGAGCCAAAGCCTAAATCAAGGTTCAATCAATCAAGTTCATTGTTTTTATACTTTTGTTTTTGTCTTCCCTTAATTTTTAAAGTAAATGTACCTATGAATTTCTCTAACCATGTGTGGCTAAAATTAGAAGGAATAGGAGCTGGGATGGGTTTAAGGCATAAGCGCACCAGCCCTGGAGTCTGGAGGGGGCAGCTGGGCTGGAGGAGCTTGAAGGTGAGGGTGGAAAGCCGATTTGAAAGTGCTTTGGGAATCCTTCATCACAGACCAGCTCTTTCAGCTTCTAATTTTCACCATCCTTTCACTATGAT